ATAAATGACCCTTTACAGCAGCTGGAACAACTGTCTGTTTAAAACTGATCTTTGTATATGCCTGAGAAGATTTGGCATTAAATGGGCCAGTTGGAGGCTGCTTATGAAAGGAACTCCAAAGGTGCTCCTTGCAAGTGAGTGTACTGTACATAGGTTAGTGGTACCTGTACAGTATTATGTTCTTGACTCCACCCCTACTTACTGTGTATGAAGACCTGCTCTAGAAAAGTTGCATCACAAGCTGAGCGATTAAGAGGGCGAGAGTGGTGGTGAGATGTATATAATTTATCACAAGAAAAGTGTGAAAAAATGAGTACTTATCAATTAAGTGTACTGATGACGTTTATGATAGAACATGAATTTACAAAGGTACATTGACCCATTCTTTCGAAAGCTGCTGGGATATTGAAGTCGAGTTGTAGTATTATTCTTTTGCGACGGAACTAGGGGGGAGGGGGCACGTGTTCTTCCCCGCCCCCTTCCCTAACTTTAGGACTTCAATTTTATCATTGTTTGTCCACCCAAAAGAGTTGAGGCTAAAAAGTATGCATCCAGTGACACCATGTGTCTTATTGAAGTTTCTCTAAAAGTAGATTTGGGAAGGTCGAAGCGGTTTTTATTTTTCAAAATTAATTGCAAAAAAATCCCGTGTTAACAGTGTATGAAACACTCTGGTGCACTTGAAGCAATGAATACAAGTCTCCCATAAAGTATGGCGTAACGTCAAGAGGTCTTGCGCAATTACAGATATGTAAATATTGTATATGTATTAGTACCACTATGTAAGTTACTGATAGAGAAGCATGAAATAATACATACTTTCAGAGTTCTGTAATTGAACGCGATTGAATGAAGATCCAATAGGCCCGCTGCAGTTTCCTTCATTCTTAACAGTCCTGGCGCTTTCTTCTAAAATATGTAAAGCTAATTTGAGTATGTATAGAATATCAGGATTTGTATCTCTATTCATTAGGCCTTGGCACTTCAATTAAAATATCTGCATGTGTCCTTTGCTGAGGGTAAGAAAAATATTTCAAGTTGATGATGAATTCAACTTGGTTCTCTGTTTCGTGATACGTTGCCAGTGCGGGCCCTGTTGTCCCGTAGGCAAAGCTCGGGGATTTTACCGTGGAGAGGTCGCCAGGTTTAACGAGGTGGTCTGACTAGTTTTTGTGCGAAAGTTGGCGGAGAGAATGTTTTGGAAGGGAGGGAGGCGTCAAGAACGGGACGGAGGGGAGGTATGCAGGGGTGGGGTGTCGGGCGTGGCTCGCAGGGAACACGTTGGCATAGTTGGGAAGGCTATTTACTAACTGAGACTCGTGATGTCTGATGATAGATATTAGGGATTCTCCCCGTGTGTCCTTGGAGCAGCCTCGGTATGGTGGTCCGCCTTCACCTGTTAAATGGTTGTGCTGCTGTGTTGACATGATAGCCGGGGATACACCCTGGCAAGATTGCGTAAACTAACTTCGCAGGACGACCGGGAATTCCCAAGCACAATTGACATTTGAGCAATATACAAGTCTCAGCAGCCTGAACTTGTTGTGACCATATTATCCTATAAGAGAACGCTCTACTTTTAGATAATACAGCCTAGGAATTTGGCGGACGCGAGTAAACTATGCTGCTTGTTGTTTGACTGAAGTACAGTAGCACTATGGTAATCCACCCACCACCACCTTTCCCTCACTCCTCCCCTCAACTCTAGGTTAACACGAGGTGTGGATGTCCCCCCCCCCCTCCCCACCACTCCTGAGGTGATGATCAGTTTTTTTCGTAAACAAAACCAGCGAACAAAGTTGAAGATCGCTCGGGGAGTCCCCAGCTGGGCGGATGATCGTGTTGGCAGCTACAGGTTGTCTTGCAGGATGCGCGCAACCCGTTATGCAAGTTATTCAAGAGTCCAGCACTGGAAGCACACAGTACAAAGTCACACACAGCCCGAAGGTGAGACGCACTCCATGGCCAGACATTGAGATGACCTTGAACAATCTTTTATAAGAATAAGCTAGAAGGTTTGGTGCTGGAGAGAGTACGTGGGGTAGGGACTAAGGTTCCCTCATTTTTTTTTATTTATATTTTTGTTGTTTAAAAATGCGAAAGGAATTTGATTGTGTTCATCAATATCAAGGCAATATGCGGATGTGCTTCCAGTAACCTCGCGCGTGATGATACGTATATTACTTGTACTGTATCTTCAAAACTGAGTTATTTTAAGTGTGAAGCTAGGTGAGTATACAGCTGTCTCACGACCACCTGTACATTTTTATCTCGGTTTCCCAGGCTAAAGAGGGATGTCACCATTGCTGAGGATATACGCAGCTGGAAAAATTAAATGCGCGGCAGTAGAGGGAATGTTTACGCTGCTGAGTTGGTTGCGTGAGGCTATTTGGGTTATTTTGTTACGAGCTAGGTTCTTTGGGTCGACCTTATTTGGGGTATTTGGGTTAAGTTACCCGAAAACTAACAAATTCCCATAAAACTAATAATAGCCTCGAAAGTAATTGGACTAGAATTTTGTTTGTTCCTCACTAATTATTTAATTTAAGTCTATACAATTCACAAACAGGTGGAAAATACGAGATTACGTAAACATTTTGGAATAAGAATAATTTTCTGGAATTTCGACGGAGTGACGCGTAAGGCTATCTGTAAAATTCTGTGATCGTATAAACAAACTCGTTTTGGATAACTGGTAATTGTATCTTACGTAACATGGTAAGGTTTGGCGGGCATGGGGTGGGGGGATACCCGAGGCTGTTGCACACTTATGTCATCTCGGATCTTCAATAACCAGTAATGGATAAGTGTTCATATACCTTAAGACTTCAGTTAGTTAGCTCGATGGGAGTTTAGTGTGTTCGAATAGTGTGAACCAATACAACACCGACTTTAGGTCTTGGCGAAATGGGCTTGTGCATTGGCAGTCCAGACAAGACGTCACTCTGGTCGGGGTTGGAATCGGGACCTTGAAATTTAAGGCCATCACTCGGTAGCCCGCTTGGCCACGGCGGCGTCCAGTGCTTGATGATGCTAGGACAGTATTCTCGTAGGTTACCGCGGAAGTGTTGTTACATGCACAGTTAAATAACGTCTTGGAAATTGGTAAGGTTAACATTATGTTGAGGAACCTATCGGGCTCTCCACACCTTGATAATTGTCAGTTGTATCATGGTAAGAGTGAGGGCGTGTGTATGATGGTAGTATTGTCAAGGTCTATGTAGACAGGGTCAGCCAGAGAGAAAGGCAAATCAAGCCTCGTCTGCTCAGTGACAGTCAGGCCAGATCCGCGCCAGCAGTCAAGGTTTGCCTTACCCTATTGTTACATCCACCTTCACACCTAATTTTTTCCATCCTTTTTATTTAATAATCCAGTCCATAAAAGTCAATACTCATTAGCAATATAATTCTCTCATATAACATTTGGTTAAACAGCAGATAAGAATAAAAAATTCAGCTCGAGTTGTATTCATATGACAATACTGGTAATTTGAGATGACATAAGAACATAAGAAAATAAGGAGTCTGCAATAGGCCGGTTGGTCTGTGCATGGCAGCTCCTGTCGAGAGTTACTACCACTCTCTATCATCCATGAATCTATCTAGCCTCCTTTTAAAACTTTCCAGCGTTCCAGCACTTACTACAGAGTTGCTAAGTTTGTTCCACTCGCCCACCACCCTATTTGTGAACCAGTTCCTTCCTATCTCCCTCCTAAATCTAAACTTATCCAACTTAAATCCGTTGCTCCGAGTCCTATCCTGCTCGGATATTATAAGAACTTTATCTATATCCTCTTTATTGATTTCTTTCACCCACTTAAATACTTCTATCATATCTCCCCGCACTCTTCGTCTTTCTAGGGAATGCAAGTTTAGTTTCTTTAACCTATCTTGATATGGAAGGTTTCTAAGTCCCGGAATCATTTTCGTCATTCTTCGCTGCACCGACTCTAGTGATTTGATATCCATTCTATAATACGGGCACCAGAACTGAACCGCATAATCGAGGTGCGGCCTGACTAGCGCAAGATATTGTTGCAGTAAGACCTCTGCACTCTTATTACTTACACTTCTAGATATAAAACCCAATACTCTGTTTGCCTTATTTCGAACATTAATGCACTGTTTTCTAGGCCGTAGGTCCGGGCTTACAAGTACCCCTAGGTCTCTTTCACACGTCGACTTCTCTAGGTTGCTGACAGTATTTGTTCTTCCAATATTAAGTACGCTGCACTTGCTGGTGTTGAATTTCATTTGCCATTTTTCAGACCACCCCGGCAGTTTATTTGGATCCTCCTGTAGTGCATTTGCATCCTGCCCTGAATTAATCTGCCGCCCTATTTTGGTGTCATCCGCAAACTTGCTTATGTCACTGCTGATCCCAGTATCTAGATTGTTTATGTAGATTATGAACAAGAGTGGGCCTAGTACTGACCCCTGGGGAACCCCACTGGTTACACAGCCCCACTCAGATTTAACACAATCTACGCTGACCCTCTGCGTTCTATCGGTGAGCCATGATTTTATCCAATTTAAAACTTTCCCCTCGATACCATGAGCCTTAACTTTTCTCAGAAGCCTCTGATGCGGTACTCTGTCAAATGTTTTGCTAAAGTCTAAGTAAATAACATCGTAATTTTCGTCATTATCTACTACCTCGAAGACTTTCCTAAAATATAACAGATTAGTTTTTTTTTTTTTATTTACACAGATCATTCATTTACACACACCAGTATTATTGTAATCGTTATGACAACATCTGATAACTTACATTATTTGTAAGTTAGCTTTCGTCTTTATTTATATGGATTAGAAGGCAGCATTACTTTATTAGAATCCTTTAGTATCCTTGCTCCACCGCGGTTCAGTCCCGCCTCCTAGTAATGTACGCCACATATACTGTATATTAAGAATAATGTAGTAGTAACAGTAACATTACAATAGTTAATTAATGCTCCACCCATAATATTGGATAATGGAGTATATTATGATTACCGAGAATACTATTGGAGTACAGGTAATAATATTGACTGATAAATCGTAATATGAGGAACACTAATTAACTACAGTGTGAGATACTTGGATTTATTGTCGTATATGTTTCCATACAATTATTTCCCCTGCATGTTTTTCTTTTCTTTTTAGATGGTTTAACAGACGAGAAACAGCTTGTGGGTGTTGAATGTGAAGCCTGGCTGAGCGAAAGTCTGGGCAGGAGGCAGGATACGTCTGTAAAAAAAATGATAGCAATGTGATATTTATACCGTCCTTGCTCTTGTTGATGCTGCTAATGGTACAAGTGACTTGGAGAGCGACCTTAAACAGGCTGCGACGTCGCACTTTTAAAGACGACAAGAACTAAGGTGTTTCACTACGTACTCTTAAGTAATCCATACACTCGACTACAACTATTAGAAATTACCGAAATAAATTTTCCTGTTAGTATAGGACTGTTAAGTTTGGTTGGTAGGTGTTGTTTGCTGTTAACTTTATAGGCGGTGTATAAAATCTGTATCTGTATTTAGAAATACAGTATGCGCTACTTCCTCCAGTCAGTCACAGCCTGGCCGACTGGTGCTCTCTAGCTATAGATAGTGCCTGATAAATGGACTGCTTCACAGTGTTGTCCTTGCTGATGCCGATGGTGGCACAAGTGGGTTAGTGTTTGACTGATCGACTACTTCCCTCGTGTCCACAACCAAGAGGCCTCGAAATAGCTCTCTCTCTCTGGTCACAGTTGCGGCCGCGATACAACAAAGTATCCAGAACAAATGCCTTCATTAGCATTCTTTGTTCACTGGCATATGTTGTTCGTAAGTTCAAAGGTGATCCTGGGCTTTGGCACAGGGGGTGGGATTTGATGTTCAGCTTATTTTTTTTTCAGGGATGGTATTGGTGAGAGTGGCTAACGAGGGCACAATATTTATTTACATTTAAAATATATTATGCCTTTCGTTGACAAATTTTTCACGTACATCACCATGTTTATCTTTTATTAATTTTAATGACTTTCAAATTGAATGGAATTGATCTTGAATTATATATATTGAGAAAAACAATACTGTTTTTTTATTTAATGTGTACATGATATGTATACAAGTATGGTGTATCAGCCTGTATATGAAGAGTTATATATCTGAAAACCACAGAAAGTCTCCAGAACTTTTAATTTTCTAATTATTTATTTTTAGGGGGCCAAATTAGTCCACGCAAACTTTTGCCTGGCGTCTTTGTTGTTGTGGACATCTGTTGACCAGCAGCTAGGTATTGTACCATTAAGAGTGTTAACCTTAATGTAGCCCAGCAGGGGAGTATTTATTCACTAAAGATCAAAGGTATAGGTCACTGGATAAGTTATTTAGGCATGACGTGTGAGTGAACACGTCGCGTCGTCCAGCCCAGGTATCCCAGTTGTAACCTCACGGGACCAAGTTTAAATGCTATTATTGGAGGATTGTGTTCGCTCAATACGCATGTAATGTATAAATATAATTCTTAGTGCTGCATATATATATACACAAGTGTATATATATATATATATATATATATATATATATATATATATATATATATATATATATATATATATATATATATATATATATATATATATATATATATATATATATATATATATATATAATTCTTTCTTTTAAGACGTTTCTGGAAATAAAGAATTTGAACGTAGGCTAACCTAGATTGGTTAAAATAGGTTAGGTTAGAATTTATAATTTCCGTAAACGGATTTCAATGCATAATAAATACATTAATTTTCATGAGCCCCTTTAGCGGGTAAAATCTCCCCTTACTTGAATAAAAACGTCTGGCGTTAGCCAGAATAAAATACCTAAGGGATACTTTGCCCTCTAAAGGGTTAAATCTATTAACACTAAAGCACTTGAATCAAAGGCCGTGCTCCAGCAGCTGAATGTGAAGGCCTTGACGCACAAAACATCAGTGTACATCCTGATGGTTAGTGTTCCCTTACCCTCACACTCGTACACATTATGCTAACCTAACTAATAAACAAATACATTTATATGAACTGAAAAGTAAGAGTTTGTGTCGTTATATGATGAGGGCAGCGGAAGGATCCTTAAAGGTTTACGAGCCACATAGTGTATCAGTTTGTGTTAATTTAGTGTGGGATGGAATTAAGAGGCAATGTTTTATTTCCCACATTTTTAGACCTTAATCTGATATTTGAAGGAAGATTTTAGTGAAAAGTGCTTAATAACCCTGGCAATTAAAGCCCTTGAAATAAAAAAAATAAACAAATAAAAACAATAGGGGTGAGGTAGTATGAAGACATGGTTCGTGTGAAATTTAAATCGCCAATAGGAATGTTTGATAATCATAAATTTGAAGTTGCGACGATTTAAGCTTGTATAATAAATACTATATATAAAGAACGACTGTGTGGGCAGTGGGTGGTACATGTAACAACCAGCCTAAGTGGGGCATGGATAATGTCATGGCCTAGCCCTAGATAATATTAAGGAAAATGGTCTTCTACCAGAGCAAGGGCATAGGCGGCCGTATGTGATCGCTCTAGTTTGGCGAGAGGCATCTGTGGGAAGTGGTTTCACTGGACCTACTTCAAGGAGGACTTGTAGCCTCAGGAGTTTATAGTACTCAGAAGAGAAAGGACTTGCTTGGTGAGGCATTAAGACACACATTCATGTACGCATTACTAGATCAGAAGATTTAAAGAAAAAGAGAAGGGTAAAGCGAACGCCGACAGGAATGGTGAGGGGGGGTGGGAAGGGGAATCCTCAGAAGCTGCGGTAGAAGGTTAAACCACTTTTGTCTTCATTACAACTTGATCGAGCTGATAAGTGTGTGTGTGTGTGTGTGTGTGTGTGTCAAACTCGTAAAAATTTTCCGAGTACAGTACATAATTTAGTTCTTGATATTAACGTTTAGAAAGTATTTACTGGTGCAGATGATAATATTTCGCATTGTTTATAAACAAGTATAATAAACAAAAGTGATAATTGTAAAATATTCTTGTAGTGGAGATTGTGTTTTGTGAAGGGTTGAGGTTGTAAAGACATTAAACTCTTGATATTTAGTTAAGGTTTTTTACATGGAGCGCGCCACCTGTACCCTCCAGTTGTTCAGCGTCATTTATAGCTAGTCTAATGTTATGTTTATTGTTGTTCTCTGTACGCCTTCCTAACAAACCTTGTAGCTTAGTCTTACCAAGGTTGATGACAAGCTTACCTTCATGGCCCACGGTCAGCAACACTAGTCCTTTGTATTTAATGTGTGTTCTGTTTACCCTCATAGTTGACACTTAACGATTTGATACTGGGCCGCATTGAGTCTGGGCCCGTCTTCCTGATCCGATTTTCTCGCGTGAGGATGTTTTGCCAAGTATGGCTTAGCGCAGCCAATGCCCAGTTGTTGTCTTATTGCCGCTTACATTGTTTTCTCAGGCTTATAAAAGTTTGTGTTCCCTTTAAATAATGCTGGAGGTGGGGCTGTGTTGAATTACACTGTTTCGTCCATCTGTTTGTTCTTCCGTATGTCACATTTAAATCTCTAGTTTGTATAATAAATTCCTCCTTTATATTCAAGGAAGTATTTATTAGAACTTTACAGTTATATTTTATAGAGTGAAGTTGTGCGTGAGAATATTTCGCGTAAAAATTGATTTTCGTCACTCATAAGAGGCTTTGAACTTTGGAGTATTGATATTTTCAGTTCGTTTTTTACGTAATTACTGTAAGAAGGACTAATGCTCTCTCTCTTTTGACATAATTATGTAATGAAGTAAAACGTGAGGTGCTTATGACGATTGTTCACATTGAAATGAATATTAATACGTTTTGTGAATTTCTCCTTACCCCGATATCTGAGGTAAATGCAGGGTGGATGAAGGGAGTAGACACTTCACAGTAAGAGGGAGTGATGCATGAAAGTGTTGCAGACGAGTGTGGGAAAGGCCCCAGATAACAATGGGGGGGGGGGGAACACACACACACATCACACACACACACACACACACACACACACACACACACACACACACACTCACTAACGTATTATGTCCTGAAACGTTTGTATCATAGCGGGATGACTATTCTACCTGGTGGTTACTCATACGTATACTAGGAAAACAATAGAAATACTCGTCTCGTGTGGGGGTGAAAGATGGGGTACATGAGCCTTAATGAAGTGGGGAAACTGATAAGTGAGAGAGTTGATGTACAGTAGGTCATGGAGGAGGGGGGGGAGTGACATGAGAGTACTAAAACAACATAATATCGTCACACACGGTAGTTATTTGTATCCTCACCTAACACACAGTATGATACGTGAATCTTTACCCTCCACTGAGTCAGCAGGTATAGTGTTTGGAAAATTAAGAGCGTTTAAACTCCAAGTTCACGAAGTACTTCCAGTCATTGATACTGTTCCTTCCATAGATTATTAACAGTGTTATTTATTCAGAAAAATCGTCATACAAGTTTCAGTTGGTTTGACATGTATATAGACAAAGCAGTTATACAGTGTTCGTAGACTGTGTAAGTGTACAATTTTTAATGTACGTATAGTACCTTGACACTACAGGTATACAAACATTGGCTATGGCAATTAATTCCATAAGTGATAATCAACAAAGCCATCAGATGCATTATCTCCATTACAGTCCTTTGCTTAGGCTTGGTTACTCATCAGTAATAGTAAATACACGTGATCGCGGGCTCCTTCGTGCCCAGTGAAAGTTTGAACGCTCGTGCTTGGCTAGCGTACAGCGAATGAGGGTGCGCCAAGTCCGTAGACTTGCATCGTTTTCCATCGTAAATAAAATGGTTAATTAATGCCTCCCTAAAGAAACCATCGACATGGGACCAGGTTTGTTCCACTCTACGAATTTTTTGCGATTTTTCCACCAAGTTTGATGAAAAACGATTGTGCCGTTTCGGGTGCCCAGAACAGACAGACAGACACACAGCTAGTCATATAGTATATTAGATTAGATACAAGAATATCGGTAACAATTTTATAATGAAAACAACAAGCATTACATTGTCCGTAGACTGACTATCAGAGGTTGGTGGATCACTTCTGTCTGTCAACATGCTCTGGTTAATAATATAGAACATCACTCTTCTCTCACAGTGGCTTCATCTAGTATGTACATTTTTTGTTTTAGCTGTGAACTGTTTGATAATATTGCTGGTTAGGTGAATTGTTCCAGAATCAAAACTTTTGTTAAT